GGTATTATCAACATTTTTGGATAATATTTTATCAAGTGATCATATTGTTATCAGCATTAACGCATGGGGTTATAGGTAAAATATGCCTCTCTACTATGACGATTTATCAAACATGCCCCTAAACTATTTTTTACATCAAACATGCCCCTGTACTTTGAAAAAATTATCAAACATGCCCTTCTGTTAAACATTCCATTGAAAAAAATCGTCAATCATGGTTGAACCGAGATTTAGATGACCTGATATCTGCAAGTGGGAGTGAAAATGTCAGTTTTGTCTCCCGTTTTATCTCCGGGTCTCTTCAAAGTGAAATTATTTGAATTATTTGGCTATACAAAAGAACCAAAAAAATTCTAAAGTGAAATTATTAGGGATATTTTAGAGCACACACTTGGCACTGAACAGGTCCGCCCCTGATTATCTTATAGTGTTTTGTAGATGAATAGAGCACACACTTTCATAAAAGAGTTATAGCTAAAATATGCCCCTCTACTATGACGATTTATCAAACATGCCTCTAAACTATTTTTTACATCAAACATGCCCCTGTACTTTGAATAAATTATCAAACATGCCCTTATGTTAAATATTCCATTGAAAAAATCGTCAATCATGGTTGAACCGAGATTTAGAAGATCCGATATCTGCAAATGGGAGCGAATATGTCAGTTTTGTCTCCCGTTTTATCTCTGGGTCTCTTCAAAGTGAAATTATTTGAATTATTTGGCTATATAAAAGAACCAAAAAAATTCTAAAGTGAAATTATTAGGGATATTTTAGACATTTGTGTCACCCAAACCAAAGTTCGGCCTTTGTTAATGGATTTTGGATAGAAATTTTAACAGAAGGGCGTGTTTGATAATTTTTTCAAAGTACAGGGGTATGTTTGATGTAAAAAATAGTTGAGGGGCATGTTTGATAAATCGTCATAGTAAAGGGGCATATTTTACCTATAACCCTAACGCACGTTATTATTAATGATAGAAAATATCATTATTATCTCTTTCAATATAATATTTGATGGTTTACAATATCATTATTAACTATTTGTCGTCATTTTTCAATGAAAACTATAGGCCGTAAACTTTATTAACGACGTTTACACTGATATTAAAAATCCTTAATTATTAATTAGAAACTTGAATTTAGTTTTGTTCATTACTCAATTTGACAAGAAAGAATTCTTGCCTAACCCCTGAACTCCAAGCTCCCAGTGGAACTTCATTGGACCCTGAGCTTGTTAGTTAAAGTGGTGAAGGATACATTGAAGAACCAGTAGGCTGATCACAATGGTACGCTGCATCCCGCCCACCAAAAGTTGTGAATGATACATTAAGACCCAGTCGGCGAATCTATCGGACCGCTCCGGCCCTGTGCGGATGCGGGAGTCGATGAAAGGACTTGTTCGAATCACCATAATTGCTGCGCTATTGTGTTGAAGAAGAGAAGAGGAGGGGGTTGATGTGGGGGAGACGTAGCGGTGGTTTAAGGCGATGAGTGGTACGCCGGAAAGAAGGAGAGGGAAAAAAGAGAGAGCTTGGAGAGGGAGAAACCAATGGTTAAAAAAACCTAAACCGTACACCCTATTTAGGTTAATTTTTCAAACAAATCCACCAATTGTTCTTTACTTACCAATAAGGCAATAACTAATACTAACCATAAATTAATTATTAGCTACCTATATCACCAACAACCAATAGGATTGGTTTAATCATATTCTTAAACTTTTTTGGAATTAAGCACAATAACTCAAGCCTCGTTTAAGTGAGTCTACATTATTGATTGTCGAACGCTCACTGGACAACTTCTTGCACAAGTGTCCATTAAAAGTATCCCTGTGGACCCTGTATAATCCATGTTCAGGCCTCAGAACAGAAACCTCTCATGTTCATTTTTAGTGCATCGCTCAATGCTGTAACTTCTAAACATGGACTCTGGCCCACTATAGATTAGCCCGACGTTTATATACACCACTACACCAGTGCACAACATAATTTGCTTCACCCACACCCAGGGCCAGGTGGATGAGTTGATGGTCGAGGCCTTTGTGCTTGCCTTGCCTACGTTCGTGAATCGTGAGTGGTGTTTAGGATTGCAATGGGGTGGGGTGAGGGTATAGGTGTCAAAACATAGCCCGACCCGATTAACCCGCCCGATCAACCCGACCCGCAACCCGACCGCAACCCGAATTAACTAAAAGTCAACAACCCGTAACCCGCCCGACCCGCAACCCGACTAACCCGCAACCCGATTAACCCGAACCCGATTGACCCGCAACCCGACTGACCCGCAACCCGATTAACCCGAACCCGATTGACCCGAACCCGACTAACCCGTAACCCGACCGACTCAACCCGAATTTCATCTAATCCACTTGAATAATTATAAAAATATACAATACATAGTTTTTCAAAATAAAGTTTTTCATTCTAAACTTCATTAAAATTATTTTTCATTTTGTATAAGAAATTTTAAAAAATGAAACTCACTTGATATTACGTATTTTAAGAAAATTACAAAAATTGAAACATGAAGGTCACTTGAGATCATGACAATATTAATATAATATATAAATTAAAATTTTGGTTAATTTAACTATTCAATAAAATTATCAATTAAATATAAATAAAGTAAAGTAATGTATTTGGTAATTTGATGTTTTTAAAAGAAGAGGGAAATTTTGGTGTATTCAAGTTTTTGGGAAGAGAAAGAAGATGTAAATTTGGTTCTTTGAATTTTTTAGAAAAGAAACAAGTGGGAATTTTGATGGTTTTGATATGTGGGAAGAGAAAGAAGTGGAAAAATTTGATTCTTTTGGTTGATGAGATTTTTAACTAATTGCAAAATAATTAAACTAATTAAGCAAAGTAAACTTGTCGGGAGAAATTCAATGGGAGAAAGCTCTGGGAGAAACACCGGGACTCACTACCTATCCTATCCAGATTAATTCACATATTCCAATCAATTTAATCCATATCTCTACAGCCACGATATCACTACTGTGCTAGCTATCCCTGTCGGGAATTACTACGTACTAAACAATTAAATCAAATCCTACTGTCGTAGCTCAATGAATTAATCATTTAGCCTTAAGACCGATATCCCAATCAAGACCGCATAGCACCTTATTTAATCCACTGTCGCTTCGATAAGTTACTATGTCACATGAAATAGGTTCAGTTATTAGGGTTTCACTGTCGCTAATAACCTAATTAACTACAAATCGTTGTATTGGTGGCCAGTCAACACAAAGCATTAAGTAATTTCATGCAATTGAGATTGAAAGAAAAGAAATATGAATCAATCCATCAAATCCAGAAATAGCTACATCCTATAGTGCTTCCCTCAAAAATTGGGGTTTAGTTCATGACGAAATCAAAAGATATAATCATGTTCTTATTCATCGTGAAACCAATGGAAAGGAAAAAAAAAACAAAAAAACTCTGAAATTTCTCAAGCAATTCGCCCAGAAAATCCCCCAGTCCGCGCTACTGCTTTTTTCTTTCCCCCCGAGATTCCGCTTCCCGCTCCTGCCTTTCTCCCCAAATATTTTAGTTCCGTCCTTTTTGCAATTTTCCCCCAAATAATTGCCGCCCAATGGATCACAAAAACCCTTTGGCCCACTCTTCCTTCCCAGAGATCCCGTGTCCAATTAATTGCCCACCAATTATAATTCCCTTTCGTCCACAATTAATTTCCTTTCCCTATCCCATAGCAATTCATGTCCCCTTTAATTCCCCAGAATGGCCCAATAGCGTCTCCTCCCTGAGACAAAACGATTTGGGTCCAATTAATTGCTTGTACACTCGCTTCTTTTTCGTGCTTTCTCCACCTGTAACATATCAAACTCATGGCACTAGGCAGCAATGGTTTTTCAACCATTTCCGGGTTAGCGAGCCCTAAAATAGCACCAATCAGCTTAAACAAATCATAGGATAGTCACATAAAGTTCAAGAATCAGATATATAATAGCCGATTATCAATAATTCGAACAATTTTACAAATAACTCGTTTGGCAACAGTTTACTAAAGTTATTTGGGCAATGAGTTATTTTGAAATAACTCCTTTTATCACTATGCTTTTGCCAAATACCACACGCCAAATACCAGATTTGCATGGTTATACTAAACGAGATACTTTAATCCAATTACTACTGAGTTAATACTAAAATATCAAATAAACAATTAACGGTGTCTTTTGGTTGCAAATATTGATATCACCATTACTATTAGCTATAATACTTTATCAATTATGATTAATTACATAACAAGTTTGCAAGTCATACAAATTGATTTAACATTTTGACTAGTTTTTTTTTTCAAAAAAATAAAGTATATATATACGAGATAGAAATAAATTGGCGGCCGTCACCGGCGAAGCCTCCTCAGGTGCCGTCGGTGACGGACGCACTTGGGCGTCGCTGTTTTCGTTCAATCCAGACCTCAAGGTGGATTACTACGAACCGGAATTCATCAATGGCTCACTGCGGATTCCAAAATCGGTACTCGAGGAGGGCTCTAAGCGGTGGGTTAACTGTCTAGTTGGTCAATTCCTGGATCGGCCAACCTCTCTTTCATCCATTCACTTCTGGGCGAATTGGATCTGGGGACGTGATGGAGCTATTCGGGTTTCGTGGCTGGGGGAGCGGCTGATCTTATTTCAATTTGCGACTGCAGAAGTCTGTCGATGGGTCTTCGAAGGAGGCCCTTGGCATCATCGTGAAAACTTGCTATTCCTGCGCAAGTGGGAGCCAGGTATCCAGCCTCTAACTATTGATAACTCGGTAGTTCCAGTTTGGGTGAAGCTCTCGAATCTGCCGACTGAGATGACGACCAAGGAGGCTCTAGGGCGAATTGCCAGCTCGTTGGGTAGACCTTTGTGTATGGATTATCCTACGAAGCAAGGGACCAAGTTGGGGATGGCAAAACTGTGCGTTGAAATCTCAGTGAGTACTAATTTGGTGAATAAGCTCAGCGTTACTCCTGATGATTGCCCGGAGATGTTTGTGGATGTGGAGTACTGTCATGTTCCGAGCAAATGCGAGAAGTGTCAGTTATTTGGCCATGACTGCTCCAATCCTGGAGGGAAGACGAAGAAGGTTTGGGTTGTTAAACAGCCCAAGGTGAAGCAGCTTGAGTTGATTCAGGACAAGGGGAAAGAAGTGATAGAGGAGTCCTCGAAGGAAATGGTTCAGGAAGTGGTAGTTGTTGAGGAAGGAAAGTCTGCTACTCCTGGTTTGGTTCAAGATGAAGAAGGGTTTCAGGTGGTTACTCATAGGAAGAATAGAGTGAGGGCTCCTGCCTCGGGTTCTGTCTCGCGAAGTCCTTGGAGTTTATCATCTGGTTCGAGTAAAAGTCCATTGGATGATCAGGTATTCCCTTCTCTAAGTAGACCTGTTTTGAAGCGTCCTGTTGATCCTCCACCTATTGCTCCTGCCAGGGGTAAGGGTCGAGGGAAGAAGCGGGGAAAATGAAGGCTCTCTGCTGGAATGTCAGGGGTTTCAATTCCCCTGAAAAGCACACTGCTGTGCTTAAAAAATTTTGGAAGTTGAAGTTAGATATAGTAGCATTGATAGAAACTAGAATTCTGTTTTCTAATTGTTCTGATATCCTTCACAAGAAATTCAGTCAGTTTAAGCATCTAAATAACTACCCTAAGTTTGCAAATGGACGTATCTGGTTGCTCTGGAAAGAAGGTATTGATGTAGTGAAGATTGCAGATGGTCAGCATTTTATCAAAGTTAAAGTGGCAGGTCCTGTTCCTTTCATCCTCCTAGTGGTTTACAGTCCTAACAAAGAAGCAGATAGGGCTGTGTTGTATGAAGAGCTTCTGCTTCAACAAGAAGTTACTGTTCCTATGGTTATTATGGGTGACTTTAATGCGGTGATTGACCCAGGGGAGACTTCTAATCTTGTGAGTATGAACTCGAGCATGTTAGCTTTTAAGTCTTGGATTGATGATATGCAAGTGATTGATCATAAGGTTGTGGGGTCTTGGTTTACATGGTGGAACAAACAGGAAGAGAACCCCATTGCGAGGAGGCTGGATAGAACACTTATTAATGAAATCTGGCTATCTATCTTTAAAGCTAGTTCTGCTGCTACAACTCCACCAGGTATATCAGATCACAGTGGTTTGTTACTGACAGTTAATCCTGAGGTGCAAAGCTTTCCCAAGCCGTTTAAGTATCTTACTTTTTGGAATAGTCATCCGGGTTATAATGAGCTAGTATCAGAAGCTTGGGAGTATAAGGTGTCTGGTTGGCCATACTTTGTATTCTATGGGAAGATTCAGAGGTTTCGTCAGGCTCTTTCAAAGCTGAACAGGGATGTCTATGCTGATATTTCAAATAGAACGAGAGCTTGTGAAAGTAGACTTGAGGCAGTGCAATTGGCTATATTGGCTAGTCCGGATCCTTCACTAGTAGGGGAAGAGAAGAAATTAGCTATGGAGTGTCATGAATTGCAAAAGGCAGAGGAAGGTTTTTACAAGCAGAAGGCTCGAGTTAGGGGAGTTCAAGAGGGAGACATGAACACTAGATTCTTCCATAATTCTGTAAAACTTAGATCTCATCGCCAGCAGATTACTCGTCTACTGAATGCTCAAGGGCAGGAGGTGACTGATATAAAGCAGCTGGGGCAAGTAGCAGTTGAATTCTATAAGAAACTTATTGGAGAGGCTGATCCTGCAGTGTACCAGCATCCATCTAGCTTCTATGCAGGTTTGGCACTAAAAACTCTTACTCAGGAAGAGGCTGGGATGTTGATTGCTCCAATATCCAGAGAGGAAATCTGTAAGGTGTTTAGAAATCTTGGACGGGACAAGGCACCAGGGCCAGATGGTTTCCCGGCAGAATTCTTTAAGTTACACTGGGGTTTGATTGGTAAAGAGGTTGAGGAAGTTGCTCTGAGCTTCTTCTCTTCTGGTATTATGCCACAAGTGGTGAATTCTACACTATTTACCCTTGTGGCTAAGATTCCAAACGCTGAGAAAATGAAAGATTTTCGGCCCATTTCCTGCTGTAACACAATTTATAAGGGAATCTCGAAGATCTTGGCCAACAGAACTAGTAAAGGACTATCATAGGAGTAGAATAACCCCTAGATGTGCTGTCAAAATCGATATCATGAAAGCATTTGATTCTGTTGACTGGAATTTCTTATTTGCTGTGCTTAGTCAGATGGGTTTCCCTGATCTATTCATTAAATGGCTGAAAGCATGTGTTTGTACCCCTAAGATTAGTGTAGTGATGAATGGTGGAATTTGTGGATTTTTTTAGATGAAAAAGGGGTTGAGACAAGGTGACCCATTGTCTCCACATCTATTTACTGTGGCTATGGAGGTATTGGATGGTATGTTAAAATTGGCTGTACAGCAGAATCAAATCCCCCCTCATCCTAGATGTAAACCATTGGCAATAACACACTTGTGTTTTGCTGATGATTTGCTTGTGTTCACAAACGGTTCTATAAGGGGGGTAGCAGGAATTTGTAGAGTTCTTGATGCTTTCTACAGAGTCTCAGGTCTTAAGTGCAATCCAGACAAGTGTCAATTGTTTTGTGGGGGAATAACAGAATCTGAACAGCAGTATATCTCGGCATATTCAAAATTCCCTATCGGTACTTTGCCAGTTAGGTATCTGGGAGTCCCTCTTATCACTGGAAAGTTATCTAGGGCAGACAGTCGTGTGTTGATTGAGAAAATCACAGCAAAAATTACTAGCTGGAGGGCAAGAACTCTAAGTTTTGCTGGAAGACTACAGCTTATATCGTCTGTTCTGACTAGCACATTACAGTATTGGATGGGAATATTTCTCCTTCCTCAGTTTGTTATAAGAGAAGTAGAATCCATATGTAGCAAGTATCTGTGGGATATATCAGAGAATTCAATGAGGACAAGGGCAGTGGTTTCTTGGGAATTCCTTGCTAGACCGAAGGAAGAAGGAGGCTTAGGGATTCGTGGATTTGCAATATGGAATAAAGCTTGTGTACTTCGTCATTTCTGGGCAGTTCTAGCTGAACAGGGGTCACTTTGGGTGGCCTGGATAAAGCGTTATAGGGTCAAACACATGTCAATTTTGGATCTTAAAGTGTCCTCCTCAGCCTCGTGGATATGGAAGAGAATCTTGAAGTGTAGGGAACTTGCTCGGCCTTATGTATCTGTGATGCAGGGAGACTTGGCATGGGATGGAGAGATTATGCAAACATACTCTATTAAAAGGGTATGGCAATCACTTCGACAGAAATGCAGTGAAGTGGCTTGGAAGAAGCTGGTTTGGGATAGTATAGTTATCCCTCGACACGGGTTTATTCTGTGGCTAATAATTCAGGATAGATTGAAAATGCAGGATCGACTTATCTCTTGGGGGAAACCTCTTACAGGACTATGTTTGCTGTGCCCTGGTGGAGTGGAAACTCGGCACCATCTGTTTGTAGAGTGCTCTTATACAAGGTATGTGCTTGATCAAATTCTCAGGAGTGCTGCTCCGCCTTCCCTAGTGGATTGGCCTCAAGTATTGCAATGGTGTATTACCAGATGGAAGGGGAAGTCTACTTCTGCGCGCCTAAATAGGCTGTCATGGAGTGTTGTATTGAGTCTGGTATGGAGGGAGAGGTGTTCTAGGATGTATGGTCTGCATGGTGCTTGTTCTCCAGGAAAGTTAATTTTGCAGGCTAAGTGGGCCATTGAGTATCGTTGTATGCTCGATCAGAGCTTGGTAGATTGTTTCATTGCTAGAGGCTTGGGGTAGATTTATTTGCTTTGCTGACTTGTACAGATTGTTTGTTCCGAGGAGCGCCATAGTTTTTTGCTATTGGTTGCCTGTTCTTAATGAAAATTTGATCTAAGTATAAAAAAAAAGAAATAAATTGGTTTAAAAGTTGAGAAAATATTTTAAATTAGTGTAATAAAATGTGTAAGTTGGTAATGAGTAATGAGTTAAGTTACTTGATGCGCTAGCCCGAACAACCCGAAACCCGACCCGCCCGCAACCCGCCCGACCCAAAACCCGATGAACCCGCAACCCGATTTGCCCGCAACCCGATTGAATCCGAACCCGATGAACCCGCAACCCGACTAACCCGCAACCCGTTTGAACCCGAACCCGATGAACCCGAACCCAATGAACCCGCAACTCGACTAACCCGCAACCCGTTTGAACCCGAACCCGATTGAACCCCGCCCGAACCCGCCCGAACCCGCCCGATTGACACCTATAGGTGAGGGTGACAATATCCATATACGTCTTGTATTAACCACAGTCAGGTCAGATGATACTCGCACAAGAATAGGGTGGGGTGGGACGGGCTGACTAAGTTTATATATTATTTGAAAAAAGAATCTTAATATTTAACTCTTGTACTATACAAGAAAATATAGAGAAAACACTTTCCAAATCAATGAGAAATATATTACAAGAAATAATTGAGTCTAAGTCTTAAAACTTTTTTAGGTTGAAAGGAGGGTTCTAGAAATGTCAAAAGAGGAACAATACATGTAGATATTGATGCAAATCATGATAGAATTAGGTCAAGAACGGTTAAGAGTATCAAAGCAAGTTGGATCACAAGGGTCATGTCAGAAATTGCCATCACTAGTCATGTTAAAGCCCCAAAACAACATATACTAGCACGAAAGCCAGCGCTGCGCGGCAGGCCTTGAATTTAGTTACTTGAGATTATAAAAAAGATAATTAAGGTTATAAGGAGTGACATTATCGATTTATCACGTAATTTGCCATTTTTTATTTTTTGGGTGCAAGTCAGATAGAAAGCGAGCCAATTTTTAACAAAATCCACACACGACCCAACCTGCCAATCACAAAAGATGGTAAAACTTTCTCCCGAACCAAACCTAATCAACACTAGGTTCAACCTACTTTGACCGGTGCTAATTAGGTTGTGTTTATTAAATTAGATATTACAATAAAATTAATAATATCCATATATTTTTAATCATATTATTAGAAATCTATCTCCATAAATTACATTTGTTTTGCTTTTTAGATGCAAGTCATATGGAAAATAGGTCGAGTTTTAACAAAATCCACACCAACCCACCCGTCAAATATAAAAGCAAGTAAAACTCGGTCCCGTTACAGAATTCGTCAACATCATATTCAACCCGCTTTTTGTCTTGGTTGATTGTTTTGGATAAAAAGCGGACGAGTTTTTATCAAATTCACACTCGACTCAACCCGCCAATTATAAAAGCGGATAAAACTCGCTCCTCGACCAAAAACTCATCATCAATGGGTTCAAGTCACTTTGATATGGTCGAATTATGTTGGATGCCCATGGATTTGGGTTCAATTGTCATTCTCAACAAAAAGAAAAGAGAGAAACTAAAAACCATTAAAGCAGTTAAAGCTCGCTCCCGATTCAAAACTTGTCAACACGATTTCAACTCTCTTTGACTGGGTGGAACCAAATTTTAACAAGTTCACATCCAAACCAACCTGCCAATTCCAAAAGCGGATAAAACTCGCTTCCGAGCCAAAACTCGTCAACACCAAGTTCAAATCATTTTAACTAGGTTTCTTTGGATACCATTGGGTGTGGGTTTAATTTTCATTCTCAACCAAAAGAATAAATAAATAACACTAAATTTAGATTCAAGTTGATTTGACCGTGTCAAATTAGGTTGGATAGTCATGGGTCTCAGTTCAATTGTCATACATTAAGAAAAAAACACTTAAGCGGATAAACTCGTTCTCGACCAGAAACTTGTGAACACCGGGTCCAGCTCGCTTTGATCAGCTTGAAATGAGTTTTAAACAAATTTACAATCGATCCAACCTGCCAATTACAAACAGTGGCGGAACTCGGTTAGCCCAAGGCTTGTCAATTAACAAACATTGTTTCCATTTTTTGACAAAATTCCTTTGTAAATTTTATTTTTGCGATGGTAGTATTTGAACCCAAGACTATTTGACAATCCTTAGTGATTTATTTCATCGTCAAATACCCTTGATGTGATTCCTGGGTCCGCCACTCATTACTAGCAAGAATTAAGAGCTTTGCAAATCAGAATTAAGAGTTTTGCAAATCAGACCAAACCAAACAAATTTCAAGCAAGAATAATCAAGAAAAAAAACAACAACCAGACAGGAAAATAGTTTGCATGCTAAGTTTCCAAGCACATATTTTATGTTCCTTACAAATAACGCACTCAGTTGGAAAACTGCCAACTAAAAATGGTTATAAATAGCCGAATCTGCAATGGCCATATAGGAATCACACATCACTGCTACTACTAATGCATTTTAATCCCAAAGCCGTTCATTTCATTATATAAGCTAGTGAGTCAGTAAGCTGGCAAAGCAAGTTAACTCAAATCAAACAATAGAAATAGATAGTTCACAAAGGCAACAAACTGAATTTCAGCAATGAAAAGGTTGTCCTTTGATATTTTACAAATCTTTGTACTAATAAAACATAGAAACAGAAAGTAAGAATGGTCAAAAGACCAGGAATAATAGATTACCAAATTGGAAACATAGTCTAAAATGTGCGACTAAGTTTAGAACATCCTCCAAATGATATGTGTGGAAGAACACTACCCGAAGAACTTAGTAACCACTTAAAGACACTGACTTGTGAGCTCATTAACACGTCCAATTTCAATCAAGAGTATGAGAGATCAATTGGTAATAGAAATTAGGTTGTCTTCAAAGGTAGTAGTCCAGTTGATTTTTTAGTTAGGGAAGAGCTGGCTGCCTATTTTCCTACAGTCGGATGACAGGAATATAGCACTGGCTCCCATGGATCCATCTTTCAGTGTCAATTCAACCATGTACTTCTGAAAAGTAGGTCCCCGGAATACATCGACAACTTCAACTTTTGACTCAATAACAAATTTATATCCCTATGTGGAAAAATAGTTTCCTTTGTTAATGGAAACAACACTTAGAGTAATCAAACAATACATACGCATCAGTGTATGGAATTACCATGTTGTGCACATCAGTCGATAGAAAAAGAATTTCACGAACAGAACTTGTTTCACTCACTTCCATTGCCTCCTCCAATGTATAGTCAATATATTCATGGTCATGGATAAGTAGGACGCTAGATCTGAATGACATGTTAGATGAACTCAGTACCCAATTAAAGAAGATTTGCAACTATAAATGTACACAAATTGAGTTACACTTACCAAATTGAATAAATTCAGCTCTAGATGTATATAAATAAACTTACTGATTTAGCAGAAGATGAAGTTGTGGATAGTGAAGATTGAAATAGACCTTACTTTCAAATGAAGCTGCAAAATAGAATTGATCTAAAAAAACCAAGTGATGCGTTAGTTCAGGTCATTGAATGCAGTAATAGGGCCTCAATATCATTACATACTATTGTTCATATAGACATAAGCCGAAGTGAAGACGGAAACAGTTCCCGGTGCTGGATCACCTTCAGTCAGATCCTCAAATTGGTACAATGAAGTCGTTGAACATTAGAACTTTCATCGTAAATCCCCTAAAATTAGAAGATCATTAGTTTTCATAGAATGATGCTCAATTTTGGGAATTAGGATGCAGATCGAAAAGCCTTACTCAAACAACGTTAAGAAAACTTGTTTGGTCCGTAACAACAACATCATGGTGATAAATAGTTTATGTTGGTTGTACAAAAGCTATTTCGCCTACCAGATCTACACACCATATCAAGTCAATGTTGTCATTCCTCAAACAATCAAGTTTACCATAATTACTGAGAGTTCTTTATCTTAATTCATTGTTTACCTGAAAGAATTTGCTCATTCTCAAAAGCATCCAGCAAATTAGCTGGACCTAGAAACCGAAAGCTGAATAAGGGTATGTCTGCCGCGTTTGGAAGTTGGTGCAAACCGGTGTGAACTCGAAAAGAGATTCGCCTGTTTGAAATTGCAACCTTAAAAGAAGCCTCATGTGAATCAACATCTAAGTGTGCAATTCTCTAGATTCCTCCTTGTTGTATAGATGGTAGGAAGGTAGGGATTTCGAGGCGATGAATGACAACTTCCATTTCAGTTCACTGTAAGTGTTTTTAAGTAAAACAACTGAAAGCTTAGAATTGTGTGTTGGTTGAATGACACATAACATGAAATGTGATAAGAAATCCAGCATGGAGACAAAATACAAATGATATCGGCTGGAAATAATGGAGAATATAAGCATGTACAAACCTCATTATCTAACAACAATTCTGCCAGCGAACATAGTCCTCCATAATCGCAGAATTCTGACCAAACAACCATTATTGTCCGTAGGAAACCCACAACTCACATAAGGACTGGGAGACCATGTTTTGTATTGGAGTTCAAAGCAGCAAGGTCGGTGAGTTGTTCTGAGCTCAGGAACCAGTGAATGGGAGCGGGAAAGGCAAGATGTTGTTATGGGTCTCTGCCAACGAAAATAATTTGGAGTGGGATGAGTTAATAGTCCCTGAACATTTGGTGGGTTGCAATGCAATGGGGAAATAAAGATGGGGAGAGTGGGGTGTGGTAGTTCCCTTAATTTATGTGGTAAATTGTATTTTGCGAGATTAACTATAAAAATTAGATATCTTTTGTATTCTTTTGAATTGTTTCTTTATCTTCTAGTTTTTTATATTTTTATAACTTTTTTCAATTTATATATTATCTATTTGTTAATAATATTAGTATTTTCTTAATTATATCATTAATAGAATTCGAATAATTGAAAAGTTTAATGGATAATGACCATTAAGCCGATTCAAGCAGCTTCATTTGTTTTACAGGTTATGTTGGACATAGACATGGTGCATATTTGCGGCAGAGCACTCCGAGCTGGTGTATCACTCGTTGGACACCGCAGCGTTGGAAACTTATTACCAGTAGCTCTACCACTATCCCAGCATCATCTACCCCATCAGACCTGAAAGACGGCAACCAGGATCTTCCCAAATTCTTTTGCTGATCAATTGATGTGAAGAGGAAAGTCGGTTGGAATTGGCGACGAAGGGGCAATAGGAAAGAAAAGGGATAATGGGTTTGTGGTTTGTGAAACGGTGACAAAATAAGGTTTATGCTTTGGAAGCTGTATTGAGGGTGATAGAAATCAGAATATGGTGTAAATTAACAATATTGAAAAAAAATAGTAACATCATTTTGAAATTGAAATTTAATTCTAAAACTAAACTTATCACGTATTTGTTTCGAACAGCTGACATACAGGTGATAGGAACCATTTGTAACACCATATACTGTAGCTCCGCCCATGACTTAATTAATGAAGAAATTAATTAAAATAAAAGTTGTATTCAAATGAACCATTATAAATCCTCATATTGTCCTACGTATGGACATATACATAAAGGTTTGAATTGGCTAAAAACAGCTTAACTGATTAAATAACGTCATAACCATATTAATTTGGAACAATGAAACTCTTATATGGGTCAGCGGCAACCTACCACTAGGTTGAACTCGGACTGCTTTTTTTGAAAGAATCAAAACGCAGCATCTCATTAAAGAGGCAGGGGAGCCAAAGGTAACATAGCCTAGTGGTGAAACCACTGGACCAATTGAGCTCTGGATGTGGGAGGTCCTGAGTTCGATTCTCAGTGGCGCCACTTGAGCTTTCCCGGCGGCACCCTTGGTATCGGAGGCGAAGCCTCCCCGATGTTGGTAGCAGAAAACCCCGGTTAGTATGCAGGTACCCCCAGTGGTTTAGTAGGTCCCGATGTCGCTCAAGCGGCACGTGGGACTGAGGTTCCCTGGGTTATCAAATAAAAATTAAAGAGGCAAGGGCCGAAAAAGACATTTATACTCTTCCGTGAAGCTCTCAGGATGCAGCATTTTTTGAATCTCTACAATTTGGATTGATGAATATGCTTCATAAATTTTATAGATTAGAGAACAAACAAACAAAAAATCCTATCCAATTAGATTTTACATATTTGAGACCGTGAGAGATAGAAATGTGACATAACAAATTACAAGATTTGATCACTGAAATTGCTTATTAATTTGATGCTTGCTGGCGACTAAAAATAGCACATCTAACTTTCAGTTACCGGTACAACTATAAAGTAGTGAGGGAAAGAAAGACAAACACCAATTACATGAACCCATAAACCAGCAGTTAAGTGATTACTTATTTGAGCTAATGAATCAAAATTTGGGTTTGTTTATGATGAATCAGAAACCAGAGCGGACCAATCTGTTCTAGCAGTTTCAATGGCGGGTTGGGTGCACCTAACAGCAATTATCAGATCAGGCACTGGATTTAGCTGGTTCCCATCAAAACTGCATATATTAATACTACTGCTCTAGTCGTGTAGTAGAATATACTGCAATATTTTTCCAGATTGTGAATTTCATTTCCCAGTAAGGACATGACGGTTGACTCCCAAGCATGAAGCAACCATCCCCTTCCATGTTCTTTCTTTCTGTTTTTTTTTTCCAGATTCCCACTTTTAATATTTGTTTTTTCCAGATTCCCACATGACATACTCCTTTGGGTTTTGATTGATGCATCTTTAAGGCAACGAATACAGTCAGCGATGTGGAATTGGCAACCACCCCTTAACCTAATCTCCCCTGCCTCCCAACTTGCAAAAACTATTGCTTTCGGACCATCAACCGCATTACAGCAATCGATTGCTTTCCTAAACGGGAAGCAGCACCCTTCGGGTTCAAAGACAGGCATAGAAGTTGAAAAAGACAGCACCCAGAAAGACAGCTGACGTTCAACAACTGAATCTGTGGATCGCTTAAAAAACAGGGCAATTCGACATTATAGCCCAATCGGGAGAGGACACATTCAACAAGCTTGCTAATGGCGGCACCGCAGGTGAAAAACGGTAGCGCATTTGGTACTAGCACTAGCAGCATCAGTGTCATGGCCTCGTTCATGACAATGGGGATCCGGAGCAGCTTCCATTCCCTTGTCGCCCTCCTCCTCACTTTCCTGGTCGTGGCCGCCGTCTACGTCACGCAGAACGGCGGCAAGCAGCTGGTGGAAGAGACGGCCACGCCGCCGAGGAGTAGTAATCTGCTGACGTCGAGGTGCGATTTGTTCGCCGGGAAGTGGGTTTTCGACAATTTGTCGTACCCTTTGTACAAGGAGCAGGACTGCAGTTTCATGTCGGACCAGCTGGCGTGTCACAAGTTCGGAAGGAAAGATTTGGATTATCAGCACTGGAGATGGCAGCCTCACCAATGCGACATTCCAAGGTCCGACCATTTCTTATTCTTTCTCGTCTCGCTTTAATTAACAAGCTTGTGGTGTTGTAACTTTGATATAATGCTTGGGCGGTTCGTTCAACACATGCTAACAAAATTGGATCATTCTTGTGTTTTCTTTTAGTTGTTCTCGTGATGCTAAGTTTGTAAATTGAATCCAATGTCTGACGTTAGAATGTGTTAGAACAATGATCTTCCTATGTTGCGTAATATGGTGTTGTATTTGTATAGTGGAATATTATTTCTTTTTTTTTATTTGTTTTTGGGATGACTGATTGTTGGTCATTGATATATAATACAGGTGATTGGTTTTCATGTCATTTTGGACATCATTTTGAGGCTTTTTTTGCTGGGTTGCTGTGTTTTTGTCTTGTTTGTTTGTTCGTGTTGGTGTTAGAGAAGATTCAATGCGACGGCATTGCTGGAGAGGCTAAGAAACAAGAGGCTTGTGTATGTTGGGGATTCATTGAATAGAGGGCAATGGGTCTCTATGGTTTGCCTGGTGGATTCTGCCATTCCTGCAGAGTTCAAGTCTCAGAAACACACAGTCAATGGCTCGTTGATAGTCTTCAAAGCACATGTAAGTTTTATGGTTGTTTGATAATAATCAGCGAAAGTTGAGATGGCCGAGTTGGTCTAAGGCGCCAGATTAAGGTTCTGGTCCGAAAGGGCGTGGGTTCAAATCCCACTCTCAACAACAATTTTGATTTGGTAAATGCTACATTTTTTATTGGACCTTTATATATTTTTTAATAGTTTTGGTTTGATGGTTGTATAGGAATACAATGCGACCATAGAGTTTTATTGGGCTCCGCTCTTGGTAGAGTCCAATTCTGACGATCCAATAAGCCACAGAGTTCCGGACCGAATCGTTCGGGTTCAAGGAATTGAAAAGCACGCCAAGTACTGGACCGATGCAGATATCCTTGTTTTCAACAGTTACCTCTGGTGGCGACGTTCCGAAATGAAAGCTATGTAAGTCCCAAAGAAACACTACTCCACCTACTAATTTGAGTGCATTCTGATCCTTTGTATCATTGCTGCAATATTATTTTTAGGTGGGGATCATTTACTGGTCCTGACGGTGGAATAGTGAAAGCAGTGAAAATGCCACGAGTATATGAAATGGCTCTTCAGACTTGGGCCGACTGGCTTGAAGTTCACATCAACCGAACGAAAACCCAACTCTTCTTCGTCAGCATCTCACCAACCCACCAAGAGTAAAACTCATTCTAATACACCAATGAATTCATCAACTACATTTTGGTTTTATAAGGCATCAATGGTTGTTCACTCTATTAATTTTGTTTTTTGATTTCTTTCTATAGAGCACAAGAGTGGGGAGGGAGTTCAGAGGGTAACTGTTATGGTGAAACAGACCCAATCTTGAAAGAAGGGTATAGAGGAAGAGCTACTTGCCCAAAAATGATGCAAGTGGTTGACAATGTGCTAGATGGATTGAAGGCTAGAGGAATGAATGTTCAGATGATTAATATTACACAACTGACAGAGTATAGAAAGGAAGGCCATCCCTCTATCTACAGGAAGCAGTGGGAACCATTAACCGATGAACAAAGAATGAATCCCAGTAGTTATGCAGATTGTATACATTGGTGTCTCCCTGGAGTTCCAGATGTATGGAACGAGCTTCTCTATGCATATATTTTGGACTTATGATGTATAAAACACTAAAATCTTGTCATTTTACGATAAGAAAAATCCCATGAATGTAAGGGTTTCTCTTATAATTCAACTTGTTCAAGACATGCAATAGAGTGAATAACATACAAAATTGTATTCCACGTCAATCTTCCTCCATTGCTCCGAAGAAGTTTGATGATCTTTTGAAATGTCCATTACTTAATGCAATTTTTATATTCAAAAAGCTTAAATGCTTTAAGTTGGAGAGATCTAATAAAGCTTCTAATGCAAAACAATTGGAAGAATCCAGATCTAGTAAGCTTGAAGAAAGAAGATTAAGTCACTTGAGAACTTCAAAATTGCACAAAAACCGCTCATCTAGACGACAAGTCCTCTCAAGGTTGATGGAAAGCTATTGAAGTTTTTTTAACCAAGATCCAACCGGTGTAGCTAGAGGTGGCAATTGGATCGGATTCGTGGATTCGCGGATTGGATTGGTGGATCCATGGATCAAATGGATTGGATCCAATGGATTGGTGGGTTCATGGATTGGATCAAATGGATTGGTGGATTGATCCATGAATCCAAAATGACATCCAAGGCTTGGACCAAAATGTAAATTTTGAAAAGTTTAGGTACTAAAATGTCATAATGAAAAATTTTAGGTACCAAAATGTAATTTTTCAATGATATTTTTCGTATAAAAATATAAATTTTAGGTACCAAAATGTAAAATATAAAAAATATAGGTACCAAATTGTAATTTGCCATTTGGATCCATGGATTGATCCATGAATCCACCAATCCAATTGGATTTGGATCAAATGGATTGGATTTAAATGGATTGGATTAGGTGGATAATTTGGTGGATGGATTGGATTGGATTCATGGATTTGGATCATAATTGCCACCTCTAGGTGTAGCCCTGAAAAATTATTGAAATCTTTAAGAATTAGGACTAAGATTCTCCAAGCACGGGCATTCAGTTCTACAATTTGAAAGAGATTTGAGAATTTATTTCGAAGAGTAACTCATTTTTCTCTGTCTGTATATTCAAAAGAGCATGGACTGTTTTACCGTACCGGCCGGTTGAACCGGAAAAACCGGAAACCGGGCCAATTCCGATACGGTACAGATTGCAAAGCTTAGAATATAGTATCGGCCGGTATTTTGTGTTCGACCGGCCTGCCGCGAAATACCGGCCGGTTTTGATCCAGCCGCTGGTACTTCAATCCCAGCCAAAACGACCTGTTTCGACCCTAGGGCAGCAAAGCAAAGGCGCCGCTTCAGTCTTCGTCAAACCTCACCGCGGATTAGCCGCCGTCAAACCCCACAGCAGATTTGTCGGTGTCAATCCCCCACCGGTGAATCCCTCGCTGTAGATCTGCATGCCTCCACGAATACGGAGAATCATGAGGGTCGCCTCTGTTAATCTGGACAGATTCCCTCCTTCTCATGTATCTCTGCAGAGAGAGAGAGAGAGAGAGAGAGAGAGAGAGAGAGAGAGAGAGAGAGAGAGAGATGGGGGAAGAAGGGATTTGTGTCCTGAATTTTTGCATATAGAGAGGACAAAGCGGAAGAGAGAAAGAGGTGAAATCTGGTTATGGGGTGAGCAAAATGGATTTAGGGATTTTGAGTTTTTGACTTTAGAGACAGAACTCGACAATCGAGAGAGATGTATAACGAAGGAAGATGAATGACTAGCAATAAGGCTTATTGTCTTCTTCCACTCTGTCAATTGGGCTGAGTCTGTCGAAGGACTTAAATAAATAAAGCCCTAGTGAACAAAACCAACAATCGAAGGAAACATGGAAAGTAAATAAAGCCCGCTTGACTTGAGTCTTAAGTCTAGGCCTAATTGATCATTCATCCTTCTTCTTCTTTGAGACGAAAGCAAAGCAGGGGAGACAAAGTTGAGTCAATAAACAGAGTAACTCAGTGATGATAGAGGGGAAGGGGAGGAGGAAGAGGGAAAGTAAATAAAAGAATTAGGAGTGTTTATTTTATGATTTTATATCCGGTATTTTTGTTATTATTTCGGTATTATTCCGGAATGGTACTATGTTGTGGCCGGTACGGTTTTTTTACCAAAAAAATAATTTACTATTACAAAAACGGTATTTACCGGCTTGAAACGGTTGAACCACGGTCGTACCACAAAATACCCTACCAGTAAATAATCCGGTATGACGTCCGGTACGGTTTCGCAATCCTTGCAAAAGAGACCATACCCATTTCTTGCTCAGTTTCATGGTAGTCAAGTCTAGCATCACACCAAAATTTCAGGTAATTATGTTATAACAGTGTTCTCCTTCCACAAGTGGTGTAAAGTCTTCAGACCTCCTATACAAGTTGGAACTTGGAAGTTTGTATAGCTTTTGCAAGTTATTCAAATTCAAAAGTGTAATCAGACACGAGTAACTCAAAAAATGTTGAGGGACTTACATTTATGCAAGTCTGATGATACTCAAATTGTAGTGTTTATCACTCTCATATTTGATATTTTTTCTTTTATCAATGCATTCCTTGTGTATTTTGTCAAAAAAAAATTAGAAATCATCAATATGATATCATTGCTTTTAATAGACCTAGGATGTGTTTTTTTTTATCAGTTTATGCCTTTTTAGTTTTTTTTTTAAGTTCTTGTACTTTTCAATGTCAAAAAAATTCTCGGAGGACTTTGGATCAATGAATGCATAAAATTAGGAGGGATACTTACTATGAAGATCATGGTGATTCATCCATTAAACGAGCCAAAATCAAGGGAAGCCTTCATGAAGTCATCATTAAATCCCAAGAGGATTCCGCTGGAGAAATTTCAGCCTAAATCCATAAGAAAATCCACGACGGCCTTACAATGGTTGTAGCCGTCATTGGACCAGACACATCTAGTCGTGCTAAAAATCGGAGTAGTAGTTACTTGAGGGCAATAAACCCCAATGGAGCAAAGAAACCCACCGCAGGTTCGACCATCGATGGGCCACTACAAGCCCAAGCCCAAAGAAATCTCAAGAATATTCCTTTCCAGATCTTCAATCTTCATGTCTACGGTTGTTCCTCGAGCTTCCAAGGCGAAAAAAATCCTCCAATTCCGCTCCAAAATTGCCTCAAATCATTCTCTCACTCTAGGGTTCATCCCTTGGGCGTTCGGGATCCAAAACCCATCTCTCCTCCTTCAAAATTTGCAAACACCCATTTAAACAGCTCCTAGAGGCCAAGTTACGGTCGTAACCTCTGGAATGTGTTCTGCCTCCCGTGGTCCGTGTTACGACAAAAAAATGGAAAAGTTACGAGCAAGGCCAGCCCATAACTTTGGAGTATGCTGTTGTTTCTCAGTTTCCCTGTCTTTGATGTTTGGGTCCTTTCTCCCTCGTCCGAACCCTGACTTAGTTGCCATTTTGATCCCAGACGCTCGTAGTCTTGTCGTCTTTCTTTTCATTCCAAGATTACATGATTCTTTGTCCTCAAGATGAGATAGAAATCAATTGTTTCATCCTTTAAGTGTGTTTCTTCTGGCCATGGGTGAGTTTATTCCTCCTAGTCGCCAAACAATCTCGGATTGACCTGAAACTTGCACCTATACTTCACTTCATCTGCTAGAACCTGAAATGTGACAAAGGAACACAACCTAGCGTAAAATGGCCAAAGAATGATAAAACACCAAGCTAAACGATTAAGAAATAAGGGGGAAACATGTGCAATTTAGCCCGAATCAATTCCTCCACACTTAACCGTATGCTTGTCCCCAAACACACCAAGTCAAACACAAGGTATGCTCAAAATATTTTAACCATGAAAACTTTGGGAACATATCATAGAGGCACAAAACAGAGGAATCTCAAAGACCATTTAATACCAACACATGAGCAACAGCAACCCAGACAACCCTCGCAAATGACATTCGAGCGCAACAAAATCACGAGTTGAAAAATCTGCCCTCTGTTCTCGAACCAAGACATGACATGAATCAACCACTCACACACCACAATTCTCCATGTATAAAGTTCAAGTTACCTGAATCAAAAACCGATCAATCTAGCCTTTGCCATGTTGCATATATAACATATAAAAATTAACCACTCACTCTCGACTAGTGGGGTCAGGCCGATTTGATGCATAATATGTGAATTCCTCCATCTCTTCATCATTATAACAGCCTGAAAGGGTTAGAGTTTGCACAATGGTTGTCAGTACTAACTTGTCAGAAAAACTTGACCGAGTTCAAATGCAACTGGCTAGGGTTTAGGACATGCGGAATTGGATTTCGGGTGGTGGTAACATTCATGACTCAAGGTTCCACAGTTCCAAACCCAACACAACAACATTCAATCGAACCAATTACTTCTTCTGCTATTCAACATCAACCAAAAGTTTAAAGCACAAGAATGAAGGAGGTAATAATGCAATAGTGTTTCCAAGCCAGTCCGCTCAGAAACACTCATTTTTATGAGCAAGATTAAAATTTTATGGCAGTTCTCTTGCTTTTTTCTTTTATTTTTAAGAACCTTAACTTTTTGCCACATTCTTTGTCTTATTAAACACATGATCAAATTTTAAGAACTGGCTCCAATACTCACTTCATCATTTAGCAGAGATCATGCAAAAATCAGTCTATGGAACCTCTTAAGAGATTAAAAAAGGGTGATTTCCACTACAAACACAGAGAAAGAAAGTCATACGAATAAGGGGGCTGACTATGGGGTATGCCACACCAGGACAATCATTTTGGCCGTGGGTTAATCCTATGCCTCCATTTTCCCTATTAATGGCAATGTGAATGCTACATACCATGGTAAGAGGGATCTATCGCACAAGAAAGAATCGAGTAGGCTCAAATCTCACATGGATACCTATATTCTCTATCATTAATTCTGATTTCTTGATTTTGATGCATAGATAGCTATAAAGAGTGAGTAATTAATCCAAGCCATAGGTTGGTTCACAAACAGAAGGAGAATTAAACCCCTACACAATCCTACTGCATATCTCAGTCATCATTGTGGTGGTCGTAGTCACAAACAAGCTACTCATGCATTGATACTAACTGCCATACGATTCACATAACCACATGTGCCCATATGATCATGCAAATTTTTACTTGGAGCCCTCAAATCTTAAAACTTTGGACAATAGACTAGGATTCAAGACAAGAAAAACAACAACATTCATCACACCCCAAATACAATGGAATACACCCACACTTAAGCACGACATTGTCCTTAATGGAGGAAAATAAGGAGGGTAGAATGAAGTTACCAAGATCGGGTGATGAATGATGGCAGGTCGAACCGG